AAATGACCTCCAAGAATGAAATGTTGAGATCCTAGTTTGCACAGCCTTAGCAGGCAGCAACAGGGTGCTTGCCTCCTGAACGCCCTAAACCCACCAAGAATGCTGCAGCAAAATGGCTGAGAAGCCCTACAGCTTCATGTCAACAACTGATATTCGTTAAATAAATGCTGTGACAGACGCTGTAATTCACTGCTCCATACCCAGAAGCAAAATGACATTAAGTCAATAAACTTTAAGCTACCCGAAACTTATTCCCCATTTGTGGCAACATTATCTTTTCAAGTACTCTCCAGTCTAGTTCAGGGACAAATCTGTAGTGCAACTTGGAAGTATTCTCCAAGCGTTCTCTGCATCAGCATTCCCCTCCTTCCATCTATACATACACCTGAAGAGGGTACTTGAGCTGACAGGTCTGACAGAAGGGTTTTCATGCCCTTACCTTCATCAGCTCCCACCACCAAGCAGGCAGGCAGCTACCAGCTTGCTTCCAGTTTTGGTTCAGCATCTCCCACATATCCATCCTGCCTCCCTTCACACAGCTCCTCGATGCAGCAGCACCCTCCAGCTTAAAAGGCTCTGATGTGCCTGAGCTCTGTGTGCTGTCCCCCGCGGCTCCAAACACACCAAACACACTGAACAATTTCATTTCTCCCTTCTATTTGATCCTTGCTGCTGTTTCACTGTTTTCCTGCAAATCCCCTTCTTGTGGCACACAACAGGTTTAATGTGAGATTTTTGCTGTTAGTGCTATTTTTTTTGGTTGCGTGGTGTTTTTCTTTAAACACTCTGTGAAATCACCTCCTTAGAACTCAGCCCCAAACCAGAAGATAAAATTGTTTTTAGAAGTCTTCTGAACACATTTTAAACACTACTTAGCTCCATCCATTCATTACAAGGGACGGTTTCACAGGGCTCCCATGAAACCCATGCCAGAGGTACTCAGTGATGTATGGCTATGAATAAGGAGTCACGGTGACAATGAGACAAATGCTCCTCTCCACCAGTCCTACTGCTTCCTTCCCTGCACAGAACTTCCTACTGTGCCGCCACCTGCACATCTCTGTGTATACTATTCCTACTGTAGGCAGATATAATCAGTACATACTCACATACAAAATTGAGTACGGACAGCATTCAGCTGCATTTGAAGTGAAAAACAGTTCTTCTGAAGACAATAGAGCAAATACTGACCAGCAAGAGTGGGCTGTGTTTTTTCCAGCCAGCACTCACATATGCATAAAATTCAGACAAGAAGCCAAGGCTCCTTAATTCCTACTCTTCTACGTGCAATTCTGAGCCTCTGAAAGCACTGGGTTGCCCAAGGAGGCTGTGGATGCCCCATCCCTGGAGACGTTCAAGGCCAGGCTGGATGCGGCTCTGGGCAGCCTGGTTGGTTGGCGACCTGCACACAGCAGGGGGTTGAAACTAGATGATCTTGGAGGTCGTTTTCAACCCAGGCCATTCTGTGATTCTATGATTCATTTTCACGGTCTTTAAAACAGCAGAGACAGACCTCGCAGGCCACTGCTAGCATTAACGAAACATGTTGAAAACAAACACATACTCAAACTACCTGGAATTTTACTGTGTTGCTTACTAAGCATGCAGCAACATGCTTATCTTCTAACTTGTAATGCAATAGAACTTTCAAGCCTGAAGCCAAATTATTTAAGAACATTTATGCTATCCTCCTCAGAACTCATTCAATTCCGAAGAAGGAAAGATTAGATGTGCCAGACACTGCCACATCTCTCCTCCTGCCTGCAGTAACCTCATGCGTGGCCATGAGGGGTGCTCTGCACCACAGCCCTTGCAGCCAGCACACCTGGCTCTCATGCAGGGAAAAGGAGCCCAGGGGACGTTTTTTATATATGCACATCCAACTTCAAAACGTCAGGACAACAGCTTGAAGTATTTACATTTCTCCTAATCAAAAGTCACAGGAAATGATGCTGAGTACCACGCAGCACAGCCGATCTGAAGATTCATACCATTCAAATCCAAAGGCAACTTCAAAGCCACCTCGTAAAGCCTGCGTGAAGCAGACACACAGCCAGATGCTGCAGGAGCTTCCCAGCATCCGGACCTTGCAGGAGCAGCCAAACGGAAGCAGAAACTCTTCCCAGAGTAAACAGGTTTAACATTTCTCTACTTGCAAAAACAGCCACATTAGAAACAGGTTTGGATCCTTCGTCCACTAAATATGATAAGGACAACTGTATTAGCATCTCTATTAGTAAAACACTGTCTTTCCCTACACATTCCTGAGCATCTGGAACTGACAGCACCTGCTCTATGTCTAACGCTGCTCTTGGCTTCATCTCCCCAGGGCACGTCCACCGCCTCTCCTGCAGACACAGCTCCTGGATCAGCGCTGCACATCGCGGCTGTGGGGCAGAAGAAGAAGATCTGTTCTTCAGGAAGTCTGCACAGCTACTTTGATTCCTTATTTTGCTGACAGACAGGGTTAATTAAGTTCTTGCAGAGAACTCTCCCTTTCCTGGGCTAAATGCCCAAATTCTTTCAGGATTCACAAGACTGTCTATTTAAATTGGGTCCAATGTTTCTTGCTGCAGAGGCCTGCACAGAATGTTCTGATGAGAAGCTGGGAATCAACCTTTTGAGAAAATCATAACTGAACGCACAAGCGCTGTGCAACACAGAAACTATTCAGTGCCACCTTCCGCTCTGTGCATAATGACTGTGTTATGTTAATAAGCACCAATGCTGGAGCATGAGCCCAGCAGGGCCAGGGGATCGCTTAAACCAAGTAAGCGCAGGTAAACTCAGACCCATCCTCCATGTGCTTCCATCACACACTGCCACGATCCCCTCCTTTCCCCACCTCACAACTGCAGCTGTTTCTTACAAGCAGTGGATGGGGACCAGGAGGGGCCGGGGCTTTTCCCAGTGCCAGGAAGCCTTCTGTCCAGAGCCGTGAAAAACAGAGCTGCTGCACAGGCACAACCCTCTGTACTTCCCAGAGCACAAGTACCAGCCTGTGTAAGGCATTCGCACGAGAAGTTCCATTGTGCAGTCATACTTTCAGGTATTCCTATAACACATCCAAAGCTTTTATTACATCTCCTATACAAATCAAAACCACTCTAAGGAATTTTAAGTGCACACAGACACGCCGAGGGCCTCCAACAAGGCCATGGCTCCCAGCAGCAGTCCTAGCTGCATCCAGAGACTGAAGCTGCTGCCCACAGACAACAGCTCCCAGCTGCCTGCAGCTCAGAACTGCTGTTCACGGCTCATAGACAGAGTGACAGCAACACTACTGCTCTGTCTTAAACCCAGCTTCATTTTGTTGTAGAACCAAACAGAAAACAACATATTACATACACAGTTTTCAAACCACAAAGTTAGGTCAGACACATTACACAAGAGCCAGAATGTCAGTGTGCAGCCTGAGCAATAATTCCAGCTAGCTTTAGACATGGCAGATCAGAAAAGCTGGTGTTCTCACTGCTCCTAAACCTTAATGGGGTTTCTAATTAACTTGATTAGCCCACTCAGCTCACTCATGAAGCACAGCCTTGTGAACAAGTGATTTTTCAGTCCTGCAACACAGTGCTTGCAAGAGGACTTCATAAATCAATGGAGCTGAATTGAGGTTAAACAAATGCATCTGCAGCCAGCACAGAGCTCACGTAGGAGAGATGACACACCTGACTCTTCAGGAAGAGGAAGTATTCTGAGGCTTTTTTTTTTTTTTTTTTTCTTTCAGAGGGTGTCGGAAGTCAGAGCCACAGGTGAGCAAACATAAACAGCCTCAGATCAAACAGGGCACAGAGCGAATGTGAAGTCCCAGCACTGGGAACACAGCGGAGAGGAGGCAGAGCTGTGCCACTCTTTGGAGTTGACCAACCAACCTCTGCGGCACAGGAGGCAACAAGGAGCCTGCTCTGCCACGGCTCGCAGTGACTCACTCCTTCAAGAGTTTGCAGTCTAGCCCAAATGCTGCTGGCAAAGTGAAGCTGCCCTATGAGGAAGAGAGCGGCCACGTGCGCTCAGCAGAGCGCTCAGCCACAGGCCTGAGAGCAGCAGCAGTCCACTCTGCAGAACAGTGCGAAGGGAAAGCCACGGGCAAAGGCAACTGAGTCTGGAATGCCATGGACCGGATGCACAAACAAAAGCTACCCAGGTTGTGCCTGCTGCTGGATGAATTCAGAGTAAATAGAAATTTTAATAAGGTTCTGTGTAACAAATTGGAGACAGTCTCCAAAGGAAAAATATATTCCACATCATCTAGCTGCTATTATCAAACTCATTAGCGCTACCTGTGTCAGCAATAAAAGGAGCAAGCTGGCACTCAGCTGTCCCCAGCCTTGGATGAACAAGAGGAAAGACAACAGGCAACCGTGCCAAAGCCTGATGAGACCAAGGATCCGTGGCTCACCTTGAACCTTGCTTCTTACAAGCACACAGGTCACTCAGACACACGTGCCAACCCAGGCCTGCCTTCCTCACATACCTTCCAGCTGCCCCACCTCCCCACAGCCCAGCCCCAGGGATGCCCCCAAGACCCCACACCCCAGCCATAAACACCTTCCTACTCTGAAAACAAACTTTGTTTCCTTTATTACCCTTTCTTTTTTAACCCATAAGCAAACAGTATTATGGGCATTACTGGAGGAAAAAGAGTTACAGAGAATGCCATTGTGATGCACTTGCAAAACACAACCAACTCCAGAAACACCTGGCCAAATCTTTGAAAACAACACTGCTATACCCAAAGTGCTAGAGATCTTGTGGTTTACCTCTGGGAAGAAAGAAAAGCACAACCAGAAGACAGGTTCCTGAGGGGATTCATTAGATCCTCACAGAGCCATCACAGACACTGAAACCTGCTTCTGCAGCAGAAGATTCATCTTATACATACAGAACAGAAAAGCATGAAAGAAAACACAGCAGACTGCACGTCAGTTACAAAGGTAGCAGGAGGAGGAAAGCTCCATATGACACTGCTCAGCATTTCCAGCCGACCAACCCACCACCTGCCACAAATCTGCCACCGTTCAACTTCCACGAGAGCTGGTTGCGGCACAAGCCATCGGCGATGTCCCCAGAAGGGTTTCCAAGCCACCAGCGATCTCCACCACAGCACACCCCTCTGCCCCAGCAGGACGTGCCCTGGGGACACTGCAGAGATATCACCTCATTGTCACAGGCCACCAAAACCCTGTCGACTTGAACAGATTTCCACTTTAAAACCGACAGCTGCAGTGAGAACAGGCTGGGGTCAGCGCCCATCTCACTGGGCCAAGGCCTCCCCCAGAGAGCTGTGTGCTGCCAGGCACGGCAGTGTTTGACTTACAGTCATCAGTTACAGCAGTGCCCGACCGAAAATACCTAAGCACTGTTTGCAGCAGTTTTGGCTTAAGTAGCTGCCATGTGATTAACAGTGAGTTCTTCAGAGAGGGCTGCGGCAAGTTTTCCCCGCTCCCTCCATTAGCAATGAAGCACAAAAGCTAAAATAAGTCATCACAGCCACTTTAAAGTACAAACCAGGGAGAGTAAAAGAAATCCCAATAAATAGGTCACACTGTAAGTTATTGCATTCCACTGCACACAAAAAACTAAGAGCAAACACAGGTAAAGAACTGTACCCAGCACTGTTTACCCTTTGGATGGTGAAGTTCTTACGCCTGACATAACGTTATAAATTGAGTAATTGACCTGTAAGGAAGTAAGGAGCTCAGGAGAGTTAAAAATTACCCCATAAATACCATAAAGATTAACAGATTTGTAATACCCACCCAAGAAGCACTTACTCTAAGTAGAATGATTATGAAAACACAGCAAGAATATTTACTACATAGCACCGACTCCAGTATATACAGACTGCCACGAAAGGCAGCGCTGGTTCTTAATATAGTGACAGCTGAAAGTCACCACTTGGATTTCCCGACTGACTAAAGGGTAACACACAGCCGCACACCGCTCTGACTTACGTGGCTGCTCTGACACAGAGCCGCAGCGCCGGGGGACCTTTCCAACGCTCTCCTGCTGCTGTTGTTCTAGTTGAGCGTTTTTAAGATTCGCGTTTTGAGCAGCTGTTTGATAGATGATCTAATTAAATACCGACAGCACACGAGGACAAAAACAGCAGAATCATGAAGGAAAAGGGGACTTCTGGTGCCCACATTTGCTAATATCTATTTCAGTACAAGTTCCTCCCCTTGAGGAAAAAGGAACGCTGCAATACTGAAGGCTTTTTCTCCCCATCTCCTGCCTGCAATAACGGCCACGCATACCAGAACCCACCACAAGGTCTCCACAATAGTACTGACACCCACAGCATTTCTATGCAGGAAACACAAGACATCCCAACGATGACAAAACCACTGCTTTTCAGGATGGCAGAGAATTGTCCACGGGGGAAGGACACAGCTGAGACTACACCTGAAGTTCCTTACAGGAGTGGTGCTGAGTTCCCTGCGAAGCGTCCGCCTGCAGGCCAGCACTTCCCAGCTGCTGCTGCATCACCTACAGCAACTCTAACTTCCAGGCAGGAAGCAAACAGCGCCAGGTTAAGGACAAAGTACTCTCCAAAGTAAGGGAGAACACGGAGCAGTGAACCAGGAACACGTGTTCCCCACTGCTGAGGCCCTCCCCACACGCACAGCACTCACAGAGCATCCGCACAGCGCCGGCTCCTCAGTCAGTGTGGGCTCAGGACTCTACCCACCCCACAGAGCATTTCCCACTGCCCCAAACGGAGCAGTGCTGAGCCCCACACGGCCCACATGGAGCCCGTGGCTGAGGGCCACGTCACCCACTGCAGGAGCACAGCGAGTGCTGTGGGGATGTGGTCCACCGCCAACAGTCCAAAAATGAAAACAAACCAATGGCAAAGGAACAGTCATAAAGGGAAAAGCTGTACAGCAGCAGCCACTGCTTTTGCAGGTAAGAAAACAAGAAAATAGAAGTGCAATCTCACCATCTCCTGTATCTCATCTGGGCTGTGCTGTAACGCCCACAGCGCCCCATAGCTGATACAGCACATACAGAAATACAGCAGGACGCCCGACCACCCCAACCTCTGATCCCAACACCGAGCTGCACAGCTCTGTGCACAAACCCATTTCCAGAACACTGCTGTGGGGTCCCCACTTCCCCAGCACGGCCCTCAGCAGGTGGCCATGGCTCCAGCAGACACGGAGGGGCCCTCCATGCCGGGCCCGAACCATGCTAACAGGCATCTGCTGCTCATCCTCCAGCTTCCGAACCGCCCCATTCTGTCGTGCAAACAACACAAGGACAGGACTGCCAATACCACTGTTATTCTAATAAAACGCTGCAGAACCCAAAGAGGTCATTTGCAAAGTACCCCCAGGTCACCAAAACACCAAACATGCCTGTCATCTCCTAGTCTGTGCAGGAGCAGTGCTGTGGGTGAGGACTGCTTCCCCAACCCAAGGAGGGGGAGCTTTGAATC